GAGACGCGGCCGGCTGTCACCCATTGTGGTGCTAACGCCGCCGGCGCCCAGGCGCGACCCCGCCCCCGCCGGCCGCCATCCAGCCCTGTCGCGACAATTGATCATCGATAGTCAGCCGGGGCAGTGCCGCCGCGCCTGGGGCTGCGGAGGGCGGTGTGGACCCGACGCCACTGGGCCCTGGTCCCCGACCCCTGCAGCAGGGGCCGCGCGCCCCTCCCCATGGTGAGAGGCTGGGCTTTGAGCCCCTCTGGCACGTCGAGCACAGTCCCCCTAGCTGACATGTCCTGGAGGCCATGTGCTGGCCATCTGATGGAGGCCATGGTCATGGCAGGGCTGAGGATGGAGGAGGGAACCTCTGCGTCCACCCCAGGGCAGAGCCCCTGAGCATCCCCACTGGAGAGCCTCTGGTCACCACCCCCTCCCCTGCATCCGCCCTCTCCCTCCTCCCCCCACAAATTCCAGTGTACTGGCCTGTGGCTGGGCCTCTTCCCCAGACTGGGATCCTCCAAGGCCTGGTCTGAGTCATCCCAGTGCTTAGCCCGGGTCCTAAGATCCAGTGGGGACAGACGGGCTTGTGGCTTTCCAAAGGGGCCGGCCTGGACCCTGCCCTCCAGGAATGCAAGACCCAGCTGGAGGCTGGCCTGGGCACCCCTTGACACCCTGTGAGCTGGGGACTAAACAACGCTGGGAGATCTGGGAGTAGGCTGGAGGCTCCGGGGTGGCCCTGTCTGCAGCCCCTTTGGATGTATTTGGAGAAGAGAAGGCCCGATTCTGGCCTCAGCAGCTCCCATCAGGGAGGGAGGTTTACACACAGCATGGGTACTGGCTGGAACCCCAGAGTCCTGGGCCAGGGTGTGGCTGGCGGACAGCTGGCAGGTGGGCTAGGAGCTGGGACTCACTAGCTGCCCAGTGCCATCTCCTGGTGGGAACATGTCCCGCCCAGGGTCCGATGGGGAGTGGCTCCTCAGGGGAGCCTGGGCGGGAGCTGCCTCCCCATCCCAGCCGGCCAGACAAAGCCTCAGATGCAGGGACCATGGCTGCCTCTGCCTGGCTATTGTTCCAGGGAGAGAGAAGGAGCTGGGGCTGGGGGACCAGCCCCTCACTTCTCCTGGGCCTTCCTCAGCTCAGCCAGAGGGCACTGGAGCTGCCACACTCAGGCAGGTGACAGCTCAGCACCAAGGGGGTTCTCTTGCCGGTGGCTGCAGGGATAGGGACCCCTCCTGCTGCAGCATGAGCCCCTCCAGACCTGTGTCTGCCCACCCTTCTAGGTCAGCGAGGAGCCAGCCTCACCCCATTCCCTGCCCCCCCAGGCCCAGAGGGAGGGGGCACTGCACAGGTGGAGGGAGAGAGCCCCAGTAGCAGGGTCGGGGGGCCAGGAGTTTGGGGGTCCTGGTTGGTTGGGGGAAGCCAGATGCACGCGTAGCTGCTGTTATAGTTGAGCCTCAGTGTGTCCGAACATCCTTGTTACTCCGGGAAGGGAGCTACAGAGGCAGGGGAGGCTCTGTCGGCCCCCGGCGCCCCCCATCTCCTCTCCAGCAGTGATGGAAGCTCTGCTGACTCCAGCTGCTGCTTCTGGGGCTGACTGGGGGATTCTACGC